TTGGCCTGTCCTCTTCTCTCCGATCTTTAGAGGGTCTGTGGGAAAGAAGGAGAAGCAGAAACAGAAGGAGGTTCACGCACCAGAGGCGTGGGGATCGCTGACTGCCCGTTAGTGCCGAGGAGCGGGCAGCGGCCCTCTTGGGTGGCGTGGTTCCCGCGGCCGCTTCTCCCACTGACCCTCCGACTCCCCGCTGTGTCCTCCCAGATGTTCCAGCACCTGATGCAGAAGCGGAAGCACATCCAGTGGACGTACGGACCGCTGACGTCCACTCTCTACGACCTCACGGAGATTGACTCCTCGGGGGACGAGCAGTCTCTGCTGGAACTTATCATCACCACCAAGAAGCGGGAGGTATGGGTGGTTGGGTGGGAAAGCAGCCGGGGAGGGAAGTCCGGGTCTCCGAACTGCTTGCTCTCTTTCCTTTCTGCCGAAGGCTCGCCAGATCCTCGACCAGACACCAGTGAAAGAGCTGGTGAGCCTCAAGTGGAAGAGATACGGGCGGCCATACTTCTGTGTGCTGGGCGCCATCTACCTCCTGTACATCATCTGCTTCACGATGTGCTGCGTCTACCGCCCGCTCAAGCTCAGGACCAGTAACCACACCAGTCCCCGGGACAACACCCTCCGACAGCAGAAGCTGCTTCAGGTGACGTCCGAGGAGCAGCAGAGCTTCAGGGCAGGAGTCAGCCCTCTGCCCTTTCTCACACCTGCATCACGTTCCTGTTTGACAACCCCCATTTCTCCCCGTGCCCAGCTCCCAAATACTTAGGCACAGATGCAACATACAGGTGGAAACACACCTGCGCTCAAAGAGCAGAGTCTGAGGTAGCCAAACCTAACAGGTTATAAAGAAGCTGACAGGGCCAGTGACTCTACACACTGGACGCTGACTTGTGCCCAGAGGCAGGCAGGGCAGATGTATGGAAGCCCTGAGTGTTCTGACCGTTTCCCTCTCAGGAGGCCTACGTGACCCCCAAGGATGACATCCGCCTGGTGGGGGAGCTGGTGACCGTCATCGGAGCTGTGATCATTCTGCTTGCAGAGGTGAGGTGTGGGCAGGATTAGGGTGAGGCTGCTTGCCCCAGGGATCCAGCCTGAGCCCCAGGCTGCAAGTGTCTTCTTGGCCCCTCTCCAGATTCCAGACATCTTCAGGGTGGGGGTCACTCGCTTCTTTGGACAGACCATCCTTGGGGGGCCGTTTCACGTCCTCATGTGAGTCTCCTTTCTCTCCCCCGATCCCTACCCTCACTCCCTGGATTCCTGACCCCTGGACAGTCCCTGGAGAAAATTAACTCCAGAGAGCCTTCTCCAGTGATGTGTGTGGCCCCGCGTATTGAACTTGCGAAGGCCAAATCTGAGTGTGTGGGTGTTGCGTCCCTCAGTCGCTCCTGCTCTTACGTCCCCAGGACGTCCCCAGTCTCCTCTCACACCCCGTCTGCTCCCCACCCTCAGCATCACCTACGCCTGCATGGTGCTGGTGACCATGGTGATGAGGCTCACGAACGCCAACGGGGAGGTGGTGCCCATGTCCTTCGCGCTGGTACTGGGCTGGTGCAATGTCATGTACTTCGCCCGAGGATTCCAGATGTTGGGCCCTTTCACCATCATGATCCAGAAGGTCTGTGCCTCCCCCCAAGCTTTCTAGAGAGAGGTCCTAGAGCAGGGGCTGCTGCAAACATTTTCGTAAAGGGCCAGATGACGGATTCGCAGGCTTTGCGAGCCATATATGGTCTCTACTGCATGTTCTTTTCCTCCTTTTTGTTTTCTCAATGCTTTAAAAATGTAAAAACCATTCTTATTCAAGGGCCGTACCCAAACAGGCCAAGTAGATCTGGCGTGCAGCCAGAGTGTCTAATCCTGGAGGGCGGAGCTGCTGGGCTTCACGGGGCTAGATGTGTGAGAGGCTGCAAGGGGCAACTGCTCAGGGGACCTGTGTGGAGGTATTTTCCTTCTCCTCCTCCCTTTAGATGATTTTTGGCGACCTGATGCGGTTCTGCTGGCTGATGGCCGTGGTCATCCTGGGCTTTGCCTCAGGTAAATCATCTGTCTGGGATGGGGCCCTGGCGGGGAGAGGTTAGAGGAGCCCAGAGAGCCCAGAATGGCTGTGGATAAACCTGGGGGGAGGTGGGAGGGAAGGCCAAGATACAAGGCTGTAGCGTCTGAGGATGGAACGTCCCTCGGACGGGAGACAAAGCTGGGAGTGTTATGGCGACGTGGGTCTTGGGATCAGGATAAGCCATCCTGAAAATAAGGGAATATCAGAACCCAAAGTACGGAGCCACGGAGGGCCTGATGGGGAGACTGGAGATGAGGGAAGCGGGACTGAACTGGGCAGCAAAGAGCTGGCTGCGGTCCAGTCCCGTGTATGGTTGCCATGGTAACTCTCCATCCCCTTGGGTGGAGCAGCCTTCTATATCATCTTCCAGACAGAGGACCCCGACGAACTGGGCCACTTCTACAATTACCCCATGGCACTGTTCAGCACCTTCGAGCTGTTCCTCACCGTCATCGATGGGCCTGCCAACTACGACGTGGATCTGCCCTTCATGTACAGCATCACCTACGCTGCCTTCGCCATCATTGCCACACTGCTCATGCTCAACCTCCTCATCGCCATGATGGGTGATACTCACTGGCGCGTGGCCCACGAGAGAGATGAGCTCTGGAGGGCGCAGGTGAGCCCCCTGGCGGCCGGGAGGGTTGCTGCAGGTCGTTCCCTCCCAGCGCCGGGGACAGGGCTGAGCTCCCCCGGAAGCAGGATATTCTGACCCGACATGTGTCTACATGGTCAGTGCGCAGTACACAGAACGATGCGGAGTGTCCAAAAGCGCTGGGCTGGCACTAAAACGGAGCAGTACTTGGATGGCTGAAAAGAATTCCTCATAGTGTTCTCAAAAACTAAAACCTCAGACTTTTCTAGAAGAGTCCACGAGAAATGAACCAACAAGAAATAAAGCTAATGGGGACTAAAAGGACATTTAGTAAATTAGTCTGTAAAATCGGACCCAGAAAAATTGGATGGGTTTTAAAAAAATGCTACAAAAATTTCCCAGAGTAGCAGAAGTAATCTTCAGTCAGATCATCATGATGGAGACAGAAGACCGTTCAATGAATCAAATCATTTGAAAATATACTTTAGAAAATAATTTCTCTCAACAGAATTAAAAATGAAAATCCCCTAAATTGAATGGCACCTAGCTGTGCTGTGTAGAAAACAGAGTTAAAAGGCCCTAAATTGGCTAAATGGGGTTTCCTCAGGAAAATATGTTTTCCATGCAAGTGTATTGATATTAGATTTCTCAGTAGGATGTTAGCATTTTTAAATGGCCTTTATGTCGGTAGGGTCAAAATATCCTGTGGCCCTGAGGATCCCTTTCTGTTTGCTTTGCCCTCCTTCCTGTCTCCTTGGAGCGAGTCCTCTCAACCTCCTGCAGGATCAGTATGGATGTCAGGCTGCGGGGCAGAGAATTGCGGGGCTCATGTCCCATTGACTCCCACAGAAGAGGGTCAACCAAGCTGACACCACCACCCTCCCCCCAGCTTGGGGGTGTCGTTTGTCCCTTCTTGGAGACCATGAGCTCCTGCCTTTCCTAGCGATTGCTAAACGGTCCTTCCCCTGCCCAGCACCCTTTCCTGTCCCCACCCCTCTCTCTCTCAGTCTGTACCCAACCTCTGACGGCCCCACCTGTCCCCACACACAGGTGGTGGCCACCACGGTGATGCTGGAGCGGAAGCTGCCTCGCTGCCTGTGGCCTCGCTCGGGGATCTGCGGGCGCGAGTATGGGCTGGGGGACCGCTGGTTTCTGCGGTGAGTGACCAGTGCAGGGCCCGGCGCCCCTCTGCTCAGACGACCTCCCGCTCCCAGGGGCCCTGTGCAGGCTGCCAGCTCCCTGGGCCCCTTGCCCACTGGCCTGGGGTCCCTACACCGGATCCCTGCTGCTAAGGGAGGGGCCCCACAAGGTGCTTGGGGCTGCAGCTGAGGGGCTGGAGCCCCTGTGCCCGCACCAGCCACACCCGAGGAAGAAGGCCAGTCATGGCGGGAGGGGGTGAGCGCAGGACACAGGCAGGGCCCGGTACCAGCCCTTCCATGCCCGACCGCCTCTCATGGCCTCCCGCTCCACAGGGTGGAGGACAGACAGGATCTCAACCGGCAGCGAGCGCGGCGCTATGTGCAGGCCTTCCACAGCCAGGGCTCCAACGACTTGGACAAAGCCTCAGAAAAACTGCAGCTGGGCCACCCCTTCAGCCCCCACCTGCCCCTCTCTACCCCCTCAGTGTCTCGCAGTACCTCCCACAGCAGCACCAACTGGGAGAGGCTGCGGCAAGGCACCCTGAGGAGGGAACTGAGGGGGCTGACCAACAGGGCTCTAGAAGATGGGGAAGGCTGGGAGTATCAGATCTGAGCGCGCCCTGCCCCGGCGGCTGCTCTCCTTTTCCTGGGGGCATCGGAAGACCCCACCAAGACACCTAGAGGTCTGATCTCCCAGGTCCAGGGGGGAAGCAGAATGCACTCTGAGGAACGCAGGCTGGGAGTAACGGCCCCAGGTTCCACTACTCGCTCAGCTCTGGGGCGAACGGAAACCAAGGAGGGAGGTGGCCCTCGCCTCACCCCGCACACAGGGCTGGTGCCAGTGGGGGGACCAGGCTGCGTGGCTCTTCGGCCTTACGGAAGTACTCTGCACTGTGAGAGCAAAGCACTTTAAGGACGGGCTTGCCGTCTCTACCCCAGTGTTCCGGTGGGAAGGGGAGAGCCCTTCCCAGGGTGCTCCAGGCAGTTGGGAGGGAGGCTTGTGGAAAGCGTGAGTGAGGGGGACAGGTACCGCTTTGGGGGTGGGGTGAAGCTGGTTCAGTCTTGCCACCTTCTACCTTCCAATAAAGTCTTTCCCTGCTCTGCGCCCTTGTGCCTTCAGCTGGTGGTGTCGCCTGCTGCCAATGGCCCTGAGCTCCTCCTCCAAGGCCTTCCCAACCCTTCCTTGCAGACTGAGGTCTCACCACACCTCCAACTTGCAAAGTTTCTTCTTTCCCTTTAATGCGGGGGGAGGGCGGAGGAGGGCGGAGGACTAGGGAGTGAAGTGTCCAGAGGGTTGGGTGTAGTGTGGTGAGTGCCTCTCGCTGAGGCCAAGACAGAGACGGGCTCTAGTGTTGCACGGTCACTCCTTGGACCTGTGTCCGGGGCTGGGACACAGGCATCGTCCACTCACAGCTGCCCACCCAGGCCTCAGACCTCCAGTGAGCCCAGCTCCCTCAGGTGCCGCTGCAGGAGCTGGATATGGTGCGACAGCTTCTTCTGGTGGCCAGCCAGTGTGATGCCCAGGGCGGGCAGGTCTCTGGTGGTGGGGAAGGAGTGCGTCAAGTCTGCGCCAGCTTCTCTAAGATCCCCGGCAGGACCCCGAGCCTGGAGCCCAGCGGAACCCCCACCCGCCTCTCCCCGCTTACTCCAGGCTGAGCTGAACCACATCACTGAAGGTGCAGAGACCAAACTTGGAGAAGTTGTCTTGGTAGCACTCCAGTCCGATGGCCGAAAGCCAGGCCTGGGGTGAGTCCAGAGAAGGAAAGTCCAGAGCCACAGGGTTCAGAAGGGCCTGGAAGGGTCTAAGTGGGGGAAGGGGGGGGGTCAACATTTCCCCTTCCTCTTAGCCCCCTCTCCTCAGTTTGCTTTCCGGTTTGCATCTACCCTCCCTGCTTGTCCCGGGCTCCAGCCCCAATCTCCAGACCTGTCCCCGGGGCCCCCATCAGCCTGCAGAGTGTCTGGCTTTCGGATCATCTTGTCAAACGCAGCCACCAGCTGGTCAAAATGAGGCCGCTGGGTACGGTCCTTCTGCCAAGTGTCTAGCATAAGCAGATGTAGTCCAGGAGGACAGCCTGGAGGTGGGGGAAGCCGGAACTCCTGCTCTATTGCATTTAGTACCTGGGGGTTAGTAGAAGAACATGGTGATGGGAAGCTATTGCTGGCGGAAAGGTGTATTCTGTCTGTCAGGTCAGCGGGTGGGCTAGGATCAGGTGGAGCATGCAGTCGGAGTGGGGAAGGAACTTAAAAATACGGAAGCCAAGACCACTTAAAATCTCAGTGGATTAGAGAAGAGAAGCTAAGAATGTAGGAGCTTGTGAGGCTGGTGGGTTGGAAGCATGGGGGTGGGGTATCAGCAACGTCTAGGTCAAGAGCTCACCTCCTGGTCACTCATGTCCCAGTAGGGCCGCTCTCCATAACTCATCACTTCCCACATCACTATCCCAAAGCTCCACACGTCACTGGAGGTGGTGTGTTTTCCGTGGGCAATGACCTCTGGGGCTGCCCAGCGAAGCATGCAACTTGGGCCCTGAGGCGTGGGGTGAGAAGGAACGACAGCAGTAATTACAGCAGTGGTCACGTTTATTGAGCAACTCCTATGTGCTCCGATGTCCGCCCAGGGTGCGCTCCCGGAGGGAGCCCACGCGGGCTCCATCCCCTCAGACACCAAGACACCACCCC